CATCCAAATCAGTCTGAAGTGTGTATTTATTTAAATGAATATCTATTAGGATACTTACAAGGAGGATTTCCCTATTTCAGTGGTTATAGGCAAAGGAAAAACTTGTATACCATTTTTGCTTACTAACTTCCTTTGAATTTCATTTCACTGCTAACTTGTTCCTGAAATTTCAGTTCCCTTCTTAAAACTCCTCCTACATTTTGAAAAACCTTTCTGGATGAAATGTTATTAAAACCACCAGCTTCTTCAAAAACCTCTGGACCAAATACACAGAAAGCAGCTAGACAATCCTCGAGATAAAAATCTGCTCATGGTGTTTGCTGTGAATAATGAATGGTGGTTTCCATATTTTAGTGTCAGCCATCTGGGTGCCTGTGTGCCCAAGGCAAGTCACCAACTTCAGCAAAGCACCCTCCCCCCAAATTCACAATCTCTTGTTTTATGTGTCAACTTTACAAAAAAATAAAATAATTTATGCTCTTTTATTTTCATATGTGATCTTTGTTACCCAATTAAAATTGTGTGTGTGTGTGTGTATGTGTGTGTGTGTGTGTTGGAAGCAAATAAAATACCATTCATTTGGAAACAATATTTTGCATTATACCCTGATTTTTGATTAGCTTATTTTATAGAATAATTTTGTCCATGCCCTGAAAACCTACAATCTAATTGGAAAAATAAGGCACATACACACCAGTTAACTGATTTTTCAAGGGTCTTGAGCAACAGATACAAATGAGCAATCTGCTTCAGACCCTGGATCCATATTACAGCTCAGTAATTATAGGTATGAACTTGATGTTACCCAGCAGGAAGTTATGTGTAAGGGCCAGGTGTCAGAGCCAGTGAAGGGAGAAGTACATGAAAGGTTTGGTGCATTTTCTCTGTGGATGACTGTGGGCAAGGTTGTATGGTAGGTAAACTCTTTAGCAGCAGTGTAATAAGATGATGTCTCCTGCAAATTATTAGAAGTTGTATAATTTTTGGAATTTAGAGACCATGAAAGTACATCCGCTGTAAACATTACTTAACAGCTTTATTTTTTAATAAAAAAAAGTGCAACCACAGAATATATTAGCAAAGGAAGAAAGGCTTTCATTCTGCTTCCAAGTTTTTTCAAGTATAAGAACCAAAAATGATGTGGCTCCTAACTCAGATAACCTCTAAACAAATATTGTTACTCACAAATGAAAACATAGAAATGTATATATCTAAAAATGTTAGTTTCTACAAGCTAGTTGGTGCCCAGGGATTTTGGCAGATTTCAGTGGGAGAAGAAATTGCCAGGTTGGCAGATTTTTTCTTCCTTTGGGACATCCCGTTTTGTAAAGTTACCATTTAGATACCCCTGAATTCTCCAAAAGGAAGCTGACAAAGTATTTGAGAGAATCATAACTGACATGAGACTGGACAAGTTTATTAACTTTGTGTTTGCATATTAAGCATACTAGAGAAAATTATCACTTGGGACAAAGCCTGTGTTTCTGAAGGATTTTGTCAAACAGCATAGCATTAAACCAAGGTCAGAAAAGAAAAGCTAAACAGGTGAGAAGAAATCCATCAAGGCACAAAGTGACATTTTTTTTTTTAATGGCTAAAACTCAGACACTTAGGAAAATATTTATCACTCAACTGTGCCACAGTTTTTAAACATATTACAAAGAGCCAGTGTGTCTTTCTGAATATAAGGGCAGGCTGCTGTGTTTCAGCATAACCATTTCAGAAATGTAGGACCAGCCTGTGTTTGCCAAAGGTAACAACACCAAAAACAATAGCAGCTAATGTTTATTGAACTATTACTATGCACCAGTGGCATTTCTCTAAGCACTCTGTAAATTAATAGCACTCCATATTAGGTTCGATTACTTTTCTCAAGTTACAGATGAGGAATCCAAGGCACTATAATGTCAACAGTGATCAAGAGAAGCCATTCATTGTCCTCGTAGATGCAGACACAGGTGACTGCAGCTTAATTCATTATCAGTACTAAACTTGAGGTCATATGCTTTTAGTACTCATCAACTATCCAAATAATATATTTATGAGTATTCTATGTTGTTGATTTTCTTCCTGGAGAATTTTCTACCTCATACCAGATTTTGGGCAATATCATGCTCTGATTGAGGATGAAGGTCACTAGGCATCAGGACTCCTGAACAATGGAACCAAAATCCTAGTGGGCTGGACAGTCCTCAGAAACAAACCTGTCTAGCTCTAGCCAGATAGCTTACTTGATTAAAGCATCATCTCAATACACCAATGTCATGGATTTGATCCTCAGTTGGTGGACATACCAGAATCAACCAATGAATGTACAAATAACTGGAACAACAAATTGATCTCTCTCTCTCTCTCTCTTTCTCTCTCTCTCTCTCAGCAATAAATAAAATTAAAAAAAATATATACACATATGACATAAATTTAAAATAAACAAAATAAATCTATCTAGACAGCAAATGCTGCTCCCCAGATTAGAGAAAGTTTAGGGTAAAACAGCCCTTGTAAAGACAATGTAATGCCACTGGCTACTGATATGCATGCTTGTGTCAAACCCAGTGTGAAAATACAGTTCCATAAGATGGATCTGTTTTGGGGATGCTTGTTTTGAAAAACAATTGCATGTTGGTGGAATTGTGGTATGTGAATGAGGACAGTACTCTATTCCAACAAAAAGCTCCCCATGCAGCCTGGATGAAGAACCATACATAGGGATAGCCTAGACAACCAAAACTCCTCTGAAACACTAAACAGCTAAACTGACATTTACCGTGGCAGAGCAAGCAAAAAGTGCACGTGATAAGGTCACCTATCTGCTGTGCCTCTGCTTAAGCACTGAAGAAATCTAGGCAGTTGTCCAAATGGGAAACCTCCTGAGAACATGACAACATATCCAGACAAAAAAGTAAGGATTCATGTATTGATGCAATGTTATTTAAAAAAATCAAGAGGGCGTTGGGAGCTCTTAATTAGATTCCCAAAACAAAGTGTACCAGGGACAGACCACCAATTATGAACACCAAAATGCTAGCATGGGAGAATGGGTGTATGTTTATGTCAGGCTTCTACAAAACACAAAACATTTCCTGCTACTAGACAATAATTTTCTAATAATTAAGTTCCTGTCATCTCTAGCTGTTCTGTTGGGTTTATGATTATGTTTGGGATTTAGATCTCTAAGCTTCTGGAGGACTCCAGAACACATAGATGATCTAAGTTTTGAGTTGTCACTATAAGATTTCACCTCCTCTAGTCTTCTTAAAAAACAAACAATGGTTCACAGTTTGTCATTCTCAGAGAATTTCTGAAGGCATGAGCTCAAAACACAAGCTTACTGTATCTCAAAAAAAGGGAGGTAAACATATAGACTGTGAACCCTCAGGAAAAAAGACAACAGAAAAACAAACAAACAAACAAACAGGTGTAGTGGCAATTTTTGTACAGGGGCCTTTCATGCATCCTGCAATTCACAGAGAAGCCTGTGCTGAACTGCCTGCTGCCTATTTGCACTGCTTCTGCCATCTGATCCAGTCCATATAAAGGAGTTCCTGGAATCGTATTTCAACCAATAGGACTGAGTTTTCCCCATCCAATCAGAGCTGTGCAGCTCCTACCAATGATAGCAATTCCATTCTGACTAATCAGAACAGTGTGTTTTGGTCCAATAAGATTGTGAGGATTTGGACTCCACATTTGCATGATACCAATCAGGGACCAGGGGCAGGGCCTTCTGTCCATGTAAGCCAGCTTCCCCACCCACCATACTCTCCCTTTCCACTTAAGACTGCCTCTCCTTGGCTGAGCTGAAGATGTCTCACCGGAGCAGAGCTGTCTAGTCAAGAGGGGCCTGACCCCGGAGCTACCTCTTATTCATGCTATAGCACAATTGAACTGTTTTGCACTAAATAGCTTCCTTCTTCACGGTACTCTAAATTGGGGATTCCTGTTGGCTTTGAGTCCGCACCACCCACCATGGGTTGACAGAATCAAGGTTTGCATACTGTTCATCATCAGACTTTTCCATAGTTTCAGACCAATACAAGCCCAGAATGCTGGTGCACAATGGAAATCAAATTCTTTCTTCTCTTCTGTTCTCCTGATGCAAATGCCAATTCTGAATGGTCCTCTCACAGACTGGAAGGTCTTCAGGTTCTGGTCCTGAGGATCCTGCAGGTGCTTCAGCCCATCTCCCCCACTCTTGGGTAATCGTGAAATAAGGGACCCAGGCACACTGACCTTTCCCAACTGGAAGCCGATTTCTCTAGCTCTTACCTAGAGAACAAGGAAAAAAAAAAAGAGATTATTAGGAGAAATGGGGAACTACATGCTCTTTCCCCAAAGCCATGACAAACCACAAAACGACCTGAGGCAAAAGCAAGATTACCCCAAATGTGCAAAGCGGATGCACCTCTGAACCATGATGCCCATGCTTGGAGACTTGGGATTTCCCAGAGCCTGTTGAGAGCTGACGCTTCTCACAAGGTTAAAGATGGATGGGATCACTGGTCTGGTTGTATTTTTCTTAATCAATATAAGTGGGTAAGTGTGGTCCTAGCATGAGTGACAATCCTACAAAGTTGTGCAAACCCTGACTGCTCTCCTGCTGCGCCTGTGCATAATTATTATAAGGTTCCTTGGGTTTGGGTAAGCTCAGGGGCGAGACCTGATCCCAGGATGTGTGCCTGAGGTGCCTGCAGAATGGAGGACCCAGCAGAGCTCCAGGTCTGCAGGAGTGAGCCATGGCGGAGAGCTCAGAGCACCCGAGAGAACCATAAAGTCCACCGGACTGGAGAGGCCTGGCCTCTCCCTCTGTGTCCGCGCCGCCAGGGTTGGAGACTCGCCCACGGCGCCCTGGCACTGCGCCCACCTCGGTGCCGCGCAGGGGGCGGGATCCCCACGCGCCGGCCCCGTCCCATTGGTCCCGGGCCCCGCCTGTCCCCCGGAGAGGCCTCGAAAGTTTCATTGAAGGTGGAGAAGTGCGCGCCCGCGGGGGAGCCTGCGCTGCGCCACCCGGGCGAGGCTGCACCAGGCCGGGCGGGCGGGGGGCGCGCTGGCATCTGGGCGGCGGCGCTGGGTTTCTATTTTATTTATTTTTTAAAAAACTGAGGCCGTGGAGGAGGCAGCTGGTGCCTGATCCACTCCTTGTGAGTTCGTCTCGACTTCTGCCCACGCTCGCACAGTTCTTTTCTGGTGACAGAGGGATGGTTCTGTGCGCCAGGTAGCTCCCGCCCGGGTCTCTCCTGCCCGAACCAGGGAGACGCAGAGGCTGAGCCTCCCCGCCGCCCGGAACCCGCCGCGGCGCCACTCGGGGGGCCCGCCCGCAGCTCCGAGAGCCGGGCCGAGGGTCGCGCAGCGGGCCCGGCTGCAGAGGTACGCGGGCTTCCGAGGGGATTCCTCCTAGCAAACTCCCCCGCCGCCCCCAGCACCGCCCCGGGAGCCAGGCAGAAGCGCAGCGCGTCCTCCTCGCCCCCTTCCTCGCCGCGCCGCCTCCCGGGACCCTCCCCAAGTGCCTCCTCCGCACCGGCCCGCCCGCGGGAGGAGCCGCTGCCGCTGGACCGGGGAGACCACACTTCATGGGCCGGCCGCGGAGGGCCGGGCACCCGGGGCGGGGGCTGCCTTGAGCCCGTTGAGGACCGGCCAGGAGCCCGGAGCGCGCCCTCGGTGCGGACAGCGCGGCGGACGGCGCGGCGGCGGCCCCTCCAGGGCGATGACCGAGCGGCCTCGAGCCGCCGGCAGCAGGAGGCCGTAGGCGGGCATGGGCCTGGCACCCCGGTCCTAGAGACCCTGGAGACTCGCCCCTCTCTGCTCGGACGGATCGCCCGGCTGCCGCGATGGCCTCGGAGGTGGTGTGCGGGCTCATCTTCAGGCTGCTGCTCCCCATCTGCCTGGCAGTAGGTGAGTGCGGTCCGCTCCGCTCGCCCCGGTCACTTGGGGGAGGTGAAGGGGGCGCCTAGGGGCGGGGGCGGGCTTCCGGGCCAGCCTTAGAGAAGGGTTCCAGTGTTGCGGGACTGTCTTCGGGGAGCCCGCGCCGGGGTCCCGGTGTCAGACACGCACCGTCCGAGGGGCCGGCTCCTCTCGCGTCCCGCGCCGGGCGCGCTGTCGGGGCTCTCCTAACGGGCCAGCGGCGGAGTCCGGGAGACCCATAGGCGTGTGCCGGAGGCTGTCGGAGTTAGTCACACGTGGGATTTCTGTCGTGGTGTGCTCACGGGTACACCAGGAATGCAGACCTGGCTGGGAAGCGGCTGGGTGGGGGTAGACCCCTTCCCGGCGCAGCGCGGGGTCTCTCTGGATCCCCTGCTCCTGGTTCCCAGATGCTCGCAGAGACAGACACACGGTGCAGCCGGCAGGCACCGAGGCCATCTCTCCCCGCACATCCCAGAACGGTGATGCCAGAGTGCAGGAAAACAGTGCCCTGAAGTTGCTTATTTTCTTTTACCCCCTCAAAAGCCCCTACAACAAAAGTGTTGAATGCTGATGCTACAGACAACTGAGACCCCACCCCGTCCCACAGGCGCCGGCCCTTTCAGGTTTTTAAAGGGATCAAAAGCCTCTCCCTGGGGCTGCCTCTCCCTGGGACTGGCAAGGGCTAAGGGAGCCCAGTTAGGGATTTCACTCTTTCTATAGGGCTGGGAGGGCGTTGCAAGCAGCTGGGAGTGCGTGGAGCGAGAGAAATTCTGTTTCCCCTCTAATAGATGGTGGTGCCTGTTAGGTTAGCGCCCATAGGGATGGCTGGCAGCTCCTTGCTTTCCCTTTCCCCTGTAGACTTAGAACTATTTACAGAGAAACACAGTCTTCGCAAAAAAGGCCACTTTTTTACATTGGCCAGAGATTGAGGACTCAACAGCACACCGGTGTTGTTTTGTTGGCCCCAGCAATCCACCTAAAGAGGGTTTCTGTGTTGTGTTGTGAGGGTCAGTCCCTGCTGCCAGGAGGATTTTGTGATCAGCATGAACACTCTGGGCGAGGAGCTAAGCGTTCTGAGGAGGCAGGGGCAGGGCGCCCGCGGGAAGTGCAGAGGGCACTCAGATGGGGAGCCTTCTGCGGAGTGGCTGGGTGCTCCCCCACAGGCAGGCTGTGGCCTCCAGTGTGCCCTCTGAGTTTCCGGGCAGGACCGTTTTGCCGGGATCTTGGCCCTTAATAATAGCCTCGCACGTTGATGCGGAGGGCAGCGTCCAGGAAGCTGAAGTGGACCCGGAGGCCAGCTGGTTTAAGTTAGAAGAAACAGGGCTTTGGAGAGCCATTGGGGAAAACAGAGCTGGGCTACCTCAGGCTCATTACACACAGGTGGTGAGCGTCGTGGTCTGGGGCCATCTGTATATCTGAAGCGCCTGGCACATTTACTATAAGCCCCATGGAAGCTAGTGCCCAGTTAACAAGGGCTTCTCCTCACTCTCTTCTCTTCCACCTCCCCCCTCTTCCCCTTCCCCTTCCCCACTAGGCTGGTGGTTGTCTGCAGCCACCTGGGTCCTCTCTGTGACTTGCACAAGCAGTTGAGTGAAAGAACAAAAGGATTTGCCCACTGATCCCAGAGACCTTGCAGTTCGCCTGTTCTAGATGCTCCGAAGCTCCTGGTTTGGGGGCCTTGTCATCTTGACTAATGGTTGGTGGTCAACATCACAAAGCCCTTCGGTGGTACTGTGGAGCTCTGCCCTCCAGAGGCACCTGGGGGTGCCGCACCCCAGATGAGGCGCCCCAGGTGCAAAGCTTGGGCAGGCGGCTGCAGAGCGGCCCAGAGGGAAGCTCCTAGGGGAGGATCAGGCACCACTGTCTCGCAAACGGGGTTCTGACTCAGTCTGGCCCCTTTCCTCCGCCCCTCTTGGCTTCTTCCTGGGACCCCGTGGGCCCGGTGCCATAGTCACACCTTTAGGCTGGGGTCCAAGAGTAGGCTTGCTCTGAGCGCGCTTGCTTGTGCGCTCCCTGGCTTCAAGGGATTCAAAGAAGACAGACCCCGCCCGCCTGTCATCCTGCTGGGGCTTCAGGGACAGCTGGGAATGGGCGGCCAGGACCAGCCTTGGCCGTCTTCTCTTTCCAGCTCATTTCTCTGGATTCTCTGCGTTTTCTTTGCTAACCCTGAGAGTCTAACCTGACTGCGCGTGTCAGGTTTTCTTTGCTAACCTGACTGTATGTGTGTGTGTGTCCGTGTGCCTGGTGATTATGGCATTCTCTGCAGTCTCCAAGGGTCTAGACAGAGCCTGTTGCTTTCCTGTGCTGCTCCGCCCCACCCACTTTGTGTAAAGCTGAAAGGCAACTGGAACTTCACTCCCCATGGTAAGGGAGGAGAGCTCCTGGGAAGAACAGAGGACTTAATGCGTCCCATGGTCCATCCCCTCACTTGTTGGCTGCTGCTTGGGAAAGACATCCCACTTACAAAGATCAGTGGTGCCTGATGCCTTCTAATCCGTGCACTTGAAGGGACGAAAGGGGGCTGGGCAGCTGTGGCCTGATTTGAGCATTCGTTTATAGAGGAAGTGGATGTTTTCAAGGTTACTGGAGGGTTTTCAGGCCTGCCTACTCCCCAGGTGCTCCTAAATCAAATATTCAGGTTTTCCTAATATCCTGGACATGGAGAGTGCAGTGATCTGTTTGCCATTAGAATCGATTTTTACATTTTAACCATCTATTTTTATATCTGGGCAAGGCAGCCTTCAAAGCCAACACTTTGAAGAAGCTTATGTATTTCACTTTAGACCCATTTGTCTAACATCATTGTTGAGAAAATTCTGCAGATTCTCCGGCCTTTTCACCTAATGATGGATGTTAAAAATTAACTGCTATTGTGTTTAATCTGAGCTTAATATTTCCTTTCTTTTTCTCCCGGTAAAATAAATTTACCGAAATGGGATAAGTTGGCCGAGGGCCTCTATTATGCAGGTGTTTTGTGGCTCTTGAGTGTTAAAAGCTTGAGAAAGCAATAATGTACTGTAACATGTTATTTGCCACTTAGAATCAGCATCTAGTGATAGATTTTCCCATGTCAATAGAAACTAGAAATGTTAACAATCTCCCCAATTATCCCTGACTACTTGGGTAGCCATTCTGACTTTTTTTCTTCAAATAACATTTAAATAAATACCTAGACAAAATTTTTCATAATATCATGTGGTCTTGATAATTGTTGTGACATCTGATCATTGTTGAGCACTTTAGAAATATGTTTACATTTATTTTCTTTTAGCGTGACCCCACTGTCCCATTTTTAAGTATATGATCTCAGTCTTTTCCTAGAAATGGATTGGTGTATTTTTATCCACATGTTCCTGACCCAGTCATTCCATCTTGCCTAGTGATGCTTGGAGTTCCCTTAATGTCTTGCCTGGAAGAGATGACAACCATTTTTTAGGGATGCCTGGTTGGGCAGAATAGATTGGTCCAGGAGGGGCCAGGCCATGGTAACTTAAGCATCAATAGCTTATGCCTTCCCCCAAATGAAGGGACCAGAGTTAGGAGAAGACAAAGCTCATCAGGAGACTGTGTAGCAAACACAGAGAACCAGCCAACTAACTAGTATTCTGAAAAAATAAATCCCAGTTGGATAATAGTGTACATCCAGGAAGAATCTCTAAAATTCCCTTTAGAGCCAAAACCCGTTTTGCTCAGTGGTAGAACGTCAGTCTGCGGACTGAAAGGTCCCAGGTTCAATTCCAGTCAAGGGCATGTACATTGGTTGCGGGTACATCCCCAGTAGGGGGTGTGCAAGAGGCATCTGTCGATGTTTCTCTCTCATCGACGTTTCTAGCTCTCTAACTCTCTCCCTTCCTCTCTGTAAAAAATCAATAAAATATATTTTTTAAAAAAATTCCATTTAGAGGTAGTTAAATTAGAATTTGAGCAAAAATATAGTCATTTAAAAAATATGTATGGGTATGGCTATGTAAACGTCATTTTCTTTCTATTGTTTAATATATTGTCCTCTATGTAACAGTTGTCATTTTGAAGTCACATGTACACTCACCCAAAGAATCCACACGGAGCCTGCTCAGAGTTTAGAGTCTCCTCAACCTCTGGTGAGGCTCTCAGGGACAGGAGCTTTCAGTCACCGAAGGATGCAAATTTAAAGCCACTTTCTTTCCTGCCACGCTTCCTTGGCCTTATATAAATAGATCGTATTTATCACTTTCAGAAAAGTAACAATTGAAAAGAATTAGAAATATGTAGTCTAATTTTAAAATAAAATACTTTATAAACAGAGATGGGCATGGTCACTTTGTCAGCTGGGCAATGGATGTTGGAGCTGTGTGTCCACCCTGTGTGTGTCCACCCTGTCATGGGGTATGTTGCTTTACAAAAAAAAAAAATCTTGCTCATAGTCAGAGGTAGATAGGATGCTTTACATTTTACCTTTGGGGGAGGGTAATATATAACTTTTGCAGAATATATAACTTTTGTTTACCTTATTTTATCATATAAGATGATAATGTTTTCTGATTAAAACTGCTATTTTTGAATTCTAATTTTTTTGTGCTATATTGGTAGGTATGCATTATACTGGGGTATATTTAATAGATAGGCATATTTAAACCATTTTGTATACGAATTTTACCTTATGACTTGGCAATTTAAGAGACCTCTATTCACATCCAGGCCCTGCCCTTTACTATGTGAGCATAGAATTGTTTTGTTGTTTCTCTTTTCTTTCTGAAAAATGGAGATATTAACATCTTCTTTAGATGGTTGTGAAGTAGTGTGCATTACACACCTTATATAATGCCTGACACTCTGCAAGTGCTCAAACGGCAGGTATTATTATTGCATTTATGAAGATGAGTAGAAGAGCAGGGATGCTTGAGGAATGTCTTAGTAGATGTTAACATACCAACAGGCAGTAACATGAATCATAAGGAGATGGATACTTAAGTACCTGAGACTTATCTGAAAACAATTTAATACCTTTCTAA